AGCACCACAGCAACTACATTTCAAGAGATCTCCCACAGGTTGCTTGGACAGGTCTGCAGGACCCAGTTCCCCCAGGACACAAGAGCAGTGCAGGGAGACTGTGGCCCCTTCCCCCCATAGCAACCATGAGAGTACTTGGTGCTAAGAGGCCAGTTTCACTGCCAAGGGGGCACAGCCCAGCAGAGCCCACCACTAAGAGTGGAGCCACCTCAGTGGCATAACCCGAGAGGTTCATCAAACCTGCTAGAACACCCCAAAGGCAACTGAGAGCCAGCACTCCTTTCCCTGGCACAGTCAGGGACCAATCTTTGGGGACTTGGAGAAAGGTCCATAAGCCATCCTTTGCATACTTGGCTCTCTATTGAGAGGCCACATGAGAAGGAACCAGTGAAAGAACTCTGAAATATGAAAAATCAAAGCAAAAGTACACCCCCAAAAGAAAACAATAACTCTTTACCAATGGATAGCAACCTAATCAAAGTATTAAAATGACAGATGAAGAATTTTGAATATGGATTGTAAGGAAGTTCAATGAAATACAAGAGAAAATGGAAACCCAACACAAAGAAGTCACAAAAACAATGCAGGAAATGAATGAAAAATTTTCTAAAGAAATCAAATTATTAAGAAAAAGCCAAACATAACTTCTGGAAATGAAAAATTCATTCAAGAAATTACAAAACACAGTGGAAAGCCTTAAGAGTAGGCTCGATCAGAGAGAAGAAAGAATCTCAGAGCTTGAAGATAACACCTTTGAGCTAAACAAGTAAGTCAAAGGGAAAGAACAGAGAAGCAAAAGGTACAAAGTCTATAAGAAATGTGGGATTATGTACAGAGGTCAAACATAAGAATCACAGGAATCCCTGTGAAGAAGAAAATACATATGAGTTGGGAATCTATTTGAAGGCACAATCAAGGAAAATTTCACTGGCCTTGCTAGAAATCTAGATAGCCAGAGAGAAGAATCCCAAAGGACTCCCAGAAGATTAATTACAAACAGGCAAGCACCACAACACATAGTCATTAAACTGGCCAAACTAAACACAAAAGAGGCAAACCTACAAGCAGTAAGGTAAAAAAAATTAGGTAACTTACAAAGAAAAACCTAACAGACTAACTACAGATTTCTCAACTGAGATCTTACAAGCCAGAAGGTACTGGGGCCCCATTGTCTGTCTTTTCAAACAGAATAATGGCCATCCTAGAATTTTGTATCCTGCAAAAATAAGTTTCTTATATGAGGGAGAAACACCTTCTCAGACAAGCAAATACTGAGGGAATTTGTCAAGACCAGACCTTCCCTGGAAGAAATACTCAGAACTGCATTATATATAGATCAACACAGTAAACACCCATCAGCGTAAAACCACCCAAAAGATAACTGTCAGAGTCCAGATACCACAATGGCTCAAGAGATAAAACAGAACAATAAAGCTCTATTCAATAGGAAGAACAGAAATCCAACCCACTTGCCAATTCTCTCAATAAATGTGAATGGCTTAAAATCCCCACACAAGAGACAGGTTTGTTTAATAGATTAAAAAAATACAAGCTAAGTATCTGCTGTTTCCAAGAAACACATCTAACCCACAAGGACTCATTCAGACTCAAGGTGGAAAAATGAAAAACAATATTCCATGCAAATGGAAACCAAAATAAAGCTGGTGTAGTCATTCTCATATCAGATAACATAGACTTCAAATCAACAAAAGAAAAGAAAGATAAAGACGGTCATTATATAATGTTAAAGGGAACAGTTTTTAACAAGAAAACATAACAATTCTAAATATTTATACACCTAATACAGGTGTGCCCAGATTCATAAACCAAATCCTACTTTATCTAAACAAAATGATAGACAGCAGCACTGTAATAGCTGGGGACTTCAACACACCTCTGACAGAACAAGACAGATCCTGGAAACGGAAAATAAACAAAGAAACAATGGACTTAAACAGAACTCTAGAACAAATGGGCCTAACAGATGTTTTTAGAACATTCTACCCCAAACCACTGAATATACATTCTTCTCATCAGCTCATGGAACACTCTCTAAGATTGAACACACCCTAAGCCAAAAAACACATCTCAACAAATTTAAAAAAATAGAAATTATACCATGTATCTTCTCAGACCATTGAGGAATAAAGTTAGAAATCAACCCCAACAGAAACACTCATCTTCACATGAAGTCATGAAAACTAAGCAACCTACTGCTAAATGATAGCTGGGTCAAGGAGGAAATTAAGATTAAAATCAAAAGATCCTTCAAACTAAATGATAAGGAAGATAAAATCATCAAAATCTGTGGGATACAGCTAAAGCAATCCTAAGAGGAAAATTCATGGCCCTAAATGCCTACATCCCAAAGATTAGAGCAGAACTAAATGACATCAATAACAAAAGAATTATACAGAAGATTAATGAAACAAAAATTTGGTTCTTTGAAAAGATAAAATTGATGGCCCTCTTGCTAGATTAACCAGAAGTAGAAAAGAAAGGACTCTAATAAGCTCAATCAGAATGACATAGGAGAAAGTATAACTGATACCACGGAAATACAAAATATCTCTGAATACATTAAAAATCTTTATGCACAAAAACTTAAAAATGTGGAAGAAATGGGCAAATTCTTGGAAACAGACAGCCTCCCTAGGCTCAATCAGGAAGAAATAGAATTCCTGAACAGAAAAATTTCAAGTATCAAAATTGAAGCAGCAATATACTACTAAGTGAAGTTTCCCAAGAATGGAAAAACAAGCACCACATATATTCACCAGCAAACTGGTATTAACTGAGCAGCACCTAAGTGGTCACATAGGTACTACAGTAATAGGGTATTGGGCAGGGGGGAGGGGGCGGGGTATATACATACATGAGTGAGATATGCACCATCTGGGGGATGGTCATGCTGGAAACTCAGACTTGTGGGGGGAGGGGGGAAAGGGCATTTATTGAAACCTTAAAATCTGTACCCCCATAATATGCCGAAATAAAAAAAAAAGAACATTAAAAAAAAAAAACTTCAAACAAAAAGTCCCAGAACAGATGGTTTTACACCTGAATTTTACCATATCTTCAAAAAACTGCTTCTTATACTGCAGAAATTATTCCATAACATCAGGAAGACAAGAATCCTCCCCAGCTTGCTTGACAAAGCCAGTATCACCTTGATACCAAACCCAGGAAAGGACACAACAAAAAAAAGAAAACTATAGACCAATATCCCTTATAAAAATAGATGCAAAAATTCTCAATAAAATCCTAGCAATCTGAATTCAGCTCCACATTAAAAAAAAAAAATCCACCATGACCAAGTAGGCTTCATACCAGATTTGCAAGGATAATTCATCATATGTAAATCTATATATGTAATTTAACATATAAATAGAAACAAAAACAAAGACCATATGGTCTTGTCAATAGACCCAGAAAAAGCATTTGACAAAATCCAGCACCCTTTTTATGATAAGATTGCTTAACAAAATTGGCATAAATTGGCCAAAAATTATAAAATTCATACATGACAAACCCATAGCCAACATCATACTGAACAGGGAAAAATTAAAAGCATTCCTGCTTAGAACTGGAATCAGACAAGGGTGCCCACTGTCACCACTGCTATTCAACATAGCACTGAAAGTCCTAACCAGAGCAATCAGATAAAAGATGGAATTCAAAGGTATCCAAATGGGGAAAGAAGTGGTCAAATTAACACTCTTTGGTGACAAGATGATCTTATATTCCGTTAGACTGGAGAAATTATTTTTAGTGATCTGTTGTACTATATTATTACCATTGTTCATAATAATGTATTGTGTTTCTCAAAATTCCTAAAAGAATAGATTTTTAATGTTCTTACCACAAAAAAGTTGGTAAGATGATGAATATGTTAATTAGCTTAATTTAGTCTTTATACAATGTATACATTGATCAAACCATTTCATTGTACCCAATAAATATAAATAAGAAAAAGTAAATAGGTAAACCACCAACTGGACAAGTATTACATGTAATTACCAATGGCATCATTCAGCATATATAAAAACTCATACAAGCTAGTAATGAAAAGGAGAAATATTTAATTAAAATCAGCAAAGCTTAATCCAACACTGCAAAAAAAAATGAGTAGCCAATCAAAACATGAAGATGCTCCGTTTAATAAATCATTATGGAAATGTACATTAAAACACAATGAGATACTGCTTTGTATTCATTATAATGGCTAAAATTCAAAACACTGTCAATACCTATTTTTTGGGAGCATGTAGAGCAACTAGAACACTCATACATTGCTGGTGCAAATGTGAAATAGGGCAACCACTTTAAAAAATAGTTTGGCAATTTCTTATAGAGTTAAGCGTATATCCTTCTAAGAACCACTAATTTCACTCCAGGTTATTTATCCAAGAGAAATGAAAACATATATCTACAAAAGGACTTGAATAAAAATGTTCACAGCAGCTTTATTCATAATAGCCCAAATTTGAAGACTACACATATATCTATCCATAGGAAAATAGTTAAAGTGTGATATACCCATACAATGAAATAGTAGTCGGCTTTACAAAAGGAACAAACTACTGATACATGCATGCAATGACATGGATAAATCCTCAAAATGCTATGTTGAGTGCAAGAACTAAGAACAAAAAAGTACACATTGTATGATTCTAAATCTATAAAGTCAAAGATCAGGCAAAACTAATATTCAGCGATAGAAATAGGAACAGTGGTTGCCTCTGGGGGCAGAGGGATAACTGGAGGGGCACAAAGGAACTTTCAGGGTGATGGAAATGCTTCATGTCTTGAATAGAGTTTGAGTGACATAGGTGTAGTCATTTAACAAAACTCATTGAGCTATCCACTTCTGACTGGTGCATATCATTCTCTGTTAATTATACCTCAATTAAAAATAATAAAAATTATTAAAAGAAGCAGCATTTAAAATTCATATATTATTTTTTATAGAAGATGTAACTTTAAAAACATGCAAATTTCAATTAAGGTAAATGCTGCGAGCTTTTGGGAATAAAAGGTAAATCTGACATAGATCCTGTCCTCAAAGAACATAGAGTGTAATGAGACCCATTGGAAACCTCCACCGGGGATTAGAGGGTCTCTAGAGAGGAACAATCAGGGAAAAGGCCTAGAGGAAGGGGCGGGACGGTATTTGAAAGGAAACCACCAAAAGACAGTCTATCTCAAACCTTAAATATAGTTGATTTATCTGGTTATACAACTTAACTTTATACTTGCAAAAGTTGAAAATGGTGAAAGGAATAAATTTAAAGATGATGGCTCATCTTTGGTAAATGGCTCAAATTTGGTAAATGCAGATTTTGCACAGGCTTTACTTAAAAATTCATCAGCTTATTCATCTGTTAAGTAATGTATTCAATAAACATTTATGAAGCTAGGGAGATATTCCAGGGCCTGCCCAAATTAAAGAAGACTGCTCTTTTCGGCCTAGATTGATCTTTCATTTTTCTAATTTTGAGACAAAAATTGTAGGGAAGAGAAAAAGAAACTCGTTAAAAATGTGACTTTGTTTTCATCCCTCTTAAGTGCATTGACCGAAGAAATTTGGAATTATTCCTGCAGTGCTTTCAGCCTTCTCTTGAAGGTGGGGTTGGTTAAAAGTGGGAACAATTCTGCACCCCAGAGTTGGCAAAGCTCACAGAGGGTGGGGCGAAGCTTGTAAGGCAGTTCCAGAGACTCTGCACTCAGTGTTTGCTTAACAGACACTGTCTCACTCAGTCCTTGGGAGGTGGATTATTATCTTGACAGTTTTAGATCAGGGGAGGAGAAAGTTAAGAAAATCTCCCCAACTGTGATAGGGGCAAAGTTGGCTCTCAAAGCTACATCTGTCTGACCGAAGCAGAAGCTCCGGGTTGCTACCCCAGACCGCTTTCCGACATCTCGAGGGGTCCCCGAGGAAAGCTTCCTTCACTGTCGTCCCCTTCAGGGGTGTCCTGCAGAGCCCGCTGGAGAACCAGCCTGAGGGTCCGCCCCCGACGCCACCAGCGCTGCCTAAAGGAGCCCACGAAGAAGTAAATAATGGGGTTGGTGCTGCAGTTAACACAGGACAGGACATCTAAAACCGAAGAAAGATAACAAGGGGACACATCAAAATAATTCTCCATCCAGATTAAGAGGAACCAGTAGATGCCGAAGGGCAGGCCACAGAGGAGGAAGGCCAGCACTGTGAACACCACGGTCACGTACAGCCTGGTGAGCGGCATCCGCCGGGAGCCACAGAGGATCCTGAGCAGCAGGGCTAGGCTGGACCCAGCCAGAACCACAAATAAAACAATCAGCCACGCCGCAGTCATGAAATCAAATGTGCGACACCAATCATAGTCACCAATCCTAAACAGGAAACCACAGAACTTCCCTTCTAGGGTGCTCAGGAGCAGGGACAGGGCCCAGAGCAGGGCACAGGTGGCCGCCGACAGGTGTCTCGGGCGGCGGCAGCGGAACCAGATGGGCCACAGGACGGACACGCAGCGCTCGGCGCTGATGGCGCTCAGCATGCTCAGCCCTGCAAGGTAGGCAAAAGTCGATATAGTGATGACGAAGCTAGGGATGGAGACAGAGGTGGGATGGAAGACGTCAATGAGGTTATGCAGGTAATATATAATCTGGAAGCAGAGGAGGAGGAAGTCCGCCCCGGCCAGGTTGAGGATGTAGACGGAGAAGGCGTTCCTGCGCATGCGGAAGCCCAGCAGCCAGAGCACAACCGCGTTTCCCACCAGCCCGACCAGGGCAACGACCACGATCGAGACCAGGAGCAGAGTCTTTTTGCCACAAGTTGGAGGAGGGACTTGGTCATTTCCATTCTCTGTTGTGATTTCGGTTGCCCAGGGGCTGGTTGGATCCATGCTCGGAAACCCTCCATCGGTGCTCCTGGGAACACAAACAAGACTTGAGCGCCTGCTTGGTGATCACTGATTCTCAGCACCACCTGCTTCGTGGGAATTGCCCGCCCTGTGTTACAGGGAGGGAAACAGAGTCTTGAATAGATTAAGTAATTTACTGAAGGCCAGGGAGTCTTGGCACCAGGATTTAAACCTAGTCCTCACTAACTCCAAAGTCTGGGTGCTCTCTACTGCAGTTGTCGTGTCTTATACTGACAAGGAAAAAGCCTAACTCACTGTCCTAGGCCATGCCATGTCCCCTGGAGGCAGGAGGAGAAAAGTCTGGACAAGCTGTGTGGGACAGCAAGAGACAGGGCTCTGAGGTCAGCATTCCTTCTGTCCTGGGATAGAGGTTTCCTCTCATGAGCAGGAAGTCAGAAGCACAGGCAGGACCCGTGGCCACCGTTAGTGACTGAGAGGGGTCCATCCACTAGGTAGAACGGAGACCATGATTTAGAGCCATGAAGGAAATGAGACATCTTGCTAGGACAGCTGTGAGGAAGATCAGACCTAGAAATGGGCTAGAAATGACTCAGTGGTCAGCTATATGAAGACAGGAAGCACTTTTCTCTTGTCCATTTCTGTATCCTCAGTGCCTGGCTCCGTGTAAGGGACACGGTGCATGGTCAAGGAATTCGTGATCCAAAAAATGAATAAGTAAATGGGGAGCCAAAGAGTAGTTGATAACCTGGGTTAATGTAGCGCAAACATTTTTAAATGAAATTAGTCACCCAGAAAACACGCACGTAAAGAAATGAAGAACATTTCACTCCCCATGTTTCCTTCTCTGGAATGCTGTGGCGTGTTTGAAAGGATTGCTTCTGCCTGCACAGATGGCTGTTGATGGGCACTGCTATGTCTCCAACCCAGGGAGGGCCAGTATATGGCTTTTACTAATGAGCACCCAGAAGAGTTCAAGCCCACAGTTTAGGGAGAGGATTCAGGACTTATCTGAATTTCTTGGCATTTTAGAGGAGAAAGGGGCAAGTTGGGAAAAGGAGAGAGGGAGGTGGCAGTGGGGCTGGCTGAAGGGAGTTGAGGCATGGAAGTTTCTCAGGGGGACCCCTAATCTCCTCCAGATGATTTTGAGTGGAATTTGCTTTGCCGATTAAAGCATCTATGAAAATAAATCTTTGGGGAAAGGAGTGGGGAATAGCAAAAGTGCCCCGTCCATTTCTACACTGTACAGGGCTTTGGGTAAAATGGCAGATGCTCATGCAAATTCCACTTGGGAAGGAGAACTATCTCTCACATCATTGTGAACAGTAGCAGCTGACTGAGTGTTCCTCGGGTATAGCCTTTTAAACCTCTTCAGCACCTAATGTGGTCAGTACTGTTAATATCCCCATTTTACAGATAAGGAGACTAAAGCACAAATATAATAGATTGGGTGATGTGTTCCAGGTCTCTTGCAAACAGCAGAGCTTGCATTTGAATCCATGGGTCTGTGTCAGAGTCCTTGTTCTTAACCAGCCTTGTAGCCCTATTGCCAGTGTTCCGTGTCAACTACACACAGGGAAGGGAGAAAACCAACAAGTAATGCTCAAGTCAAGTCTAAAATAGCATATTAAAATGGTCCTTTTTTAAGCAAATAAAAGCCAACTGGGAGCAAGCAACTGAATGTGTGAGCCCTTTCCCGCCTTGGAAAAGACAGCTGTCAATCACTCCACACTGCAGAGGACTCGCACAAGCAGGAGGCCTCCAGGTGGAAGGGGGATGTGTCCTCCTTGGGGGTGCATAGTTGGCATCAAGGATGATGAAAGCGTCCATCACATGCTCTCTTAGTTCCTGTAGCCCTGGTTGGCCTGATAAGGATATGGAGGAAAACCACAACTTCTCTTGTCCTCCTTCAAGGCACCTCGGCCTTTCTACTCACAGCACTGAACACAGTTTGTAGCTCTGGCTTTTGTTTTGTTTTGTTTTGTTTTGTTTTTTGAAAGGTCTATAAACCATTTATGAGATGGTTTATTCTACTTTTTACTGTGGTAAAATAAAAGTAACATAACCTTTATCATTTTAACTATTTTAAGTGAACAGTTCAGTGGCATCCAGTACATTTATGTTGTTGTGCAACCATCACCACCATCCATCCCTAGAACTTCCTTATTACCCTGAAATGAAGCTCTATATCCATCAAACACTATCTCTTCATTCTCCTCTTCCCCCCAGCTCCTGGAAACCTCTGTTCTACTTTCTGTCTCTATGAATCTGACCATTCTAGGTACTGCATATAAGAGGAATCATATAATATTTGTCCTGTTGTGTCTGGTTTATTACACCAAACACAATGTCCTCAAGGTTCATCCATGCTATGTGTATCAGTACCCTATTCCTTCCCATGGTTGAACAATACTCCATTGCATGGATAAGTCACATTTTGCTTGTCCACTTATTTGTTGATGAACACTTGGGTTATTTCCACCTTTTGGCTGTTGTGAATAATGTTGCTATGAACATTTGTTTACAAATATCTGTTCAAGTCCCTGTTGGTTTACTATTTTCCACTTAAAAAAAATGACTATATGATATTTGGTACTGTGCTAATACCTTACACATACTATCTCCCTAATCTGGGCAGCAACCCCTCTGAAGTAGATATCATCATTATCATCTTTTTTCTGAGGTTATCCATCTGACAAGTGGCAGGGGTGGGGTCTGGACCCTCAGCAACGTGTCCGCTGTTCCCCCATATCCAGCCCTGGCCCTCTGGCTATGTCCAGGTGCCTTGGCTGCAGACAGAGTTCTGACCCTGTGTCTTCATCTCTTGTGTCTCCCAATCTGGCTTTGGGTAGAATAGCAGCAAGTTTTCAGCTACAAGGCCAGCTAGATCTAGTACAGCTCTAATTTTAAGTGTATGTTTAGTTTTTCTTTTGTCTCCCTTATTAAACTCAAAGCTCTATAATGCCTAGACCTGCCCGGTTTTTGTTGTGGTTGTTCACTATTGTATCCCCAGCGTCCAACACATGTCCCTTAGAGGACATAATCTTGAGGATGTAATACTGTTATTTAACAAAGGAAGAAACTCAGGCTTAAGAAGTAAAAAAGATTTTCCTGAGACCACATGGTGAAAAGCAGGTCCAGGACCAGCCCTGGTCTCCTGGAGTCCCATCCCAGGTTTACCTCTGTTCCCTGGCTGCATCATTCACTATTTGTGAAGCATTCCTGAGAAATCTCCATGTGAGCACAGATTCAGAGAGAGAGTCGGGGTTATAGAGACTGCTAGTTTCCCCAGTAGCCATTTTCCTCTTGTCATACGTAATAATTCTGAGAGCCTTAGACTAGAAAAAGGACTCTATTTCTCAGCCCCCCCCCATGCTGATGGCACCATGTGACCAGGTGATGGTCAGCAGGAGGTGAGAAGAAGTAATGTAACCAGCTCCTCCTGTGCTCATTCTCCTCTTCCTCGAGGCTGGAATGCTGATGTGTTCAGGAGCCATGTAGGACCACGAGGATGAGGGCATCTCTTTGGGGATGGGGGAGTGGCAAATCGGAAGGAGCCTTGATGTCTGACATCTTGGAGTCATCGGTCTCCAGGTGTAATAAACTTTCTTTCTTACTCAAGTCACCATTATAGTAGGTTTCTCTTTAGAGCAGCCAATATCATAAACTTAAAATACTTATAAATACCAGTGTGCCCCCACCATTTTTTTCAACTGCATTCCATTCTCAAGGCATTTATGATGATAGTTGAGATATTAGTACAAAGAAGTGCTACTAAATGGGAGGTCAAAAACGAGCCAGACTAACTGGGAGGAGGTAGAATGAGAAATTGATCCAATCACATTGGAAGAAATGAGTTTTCCCCACTTGCCATCAGGATCTCATGTCCACCCTTCTCTACCCTCTCTGCACCCTGGGAGGGGACATCTCTGTGTCTTATCAATGGGCTACCCTTTGCTCTGGCTCCTGGTTGCATTCAGTCAAAGGGAAACATTAACAGGACAGTGGATGGCAGGAGTAGAGTGATTTGAGGGTTTTTGATTTCCTGGTTCCCTCCCTCATAGGTTGTGAGTTGGCAGTGGCAGTGTTACTCTACCTAAGGACATAGCCCCTCTCTGGTGGCCCTTTCCTGTAGCCACAGCTACAGCTACAGCACATTCTGAGTTCTCATAATTTTCCTTCTCATTATCCCTTCAGGCCTAGCAATGGTAACAGCTCCCCACTATTACTTGCCTTTGAGGGCCTCATCATTCTTTAAAGATTTCCCTTAGTCCTAAGCACACCTTTGTAAATAATCTCTTCATTAAACTCTTCTCGACTACCCTTTTAGAGTGTGGGACCTGTGTTTTCTGCTGAGACGATGACAGACACCAGGGATACAAAGAAAAAACCTTTTGAATGGCAAGAAAATCTGTGAAACCTGAGGTTATTAACAACAATTTGGCTTTGGAAGGCAGTGCCTGCACACTGTCTTGCTCGCTAAATTAAAATTAGCCAAGCATTTCTCTCCATGTTTGTAGCTTTGAATGGTTGAAGAAAAGGGGAGAATATAGAAGATAGGACAGAAGTAGACAGAACCTGGTGGACCCCATTCAGATCTCCCACCATCTAAACTGTCAGCATCCAAAACTTCCTCAAAGGAGCTTCAGACCTCCAGACTCTTGCTGAAGAGTGCACTCCCAAGATGAACTTATTAGGATATGGACCAACAGGGAAAAACCAAAACTGCCTTTGAAAGAAGATGATCCTTAAACACTCTTACCTTAGCACCATGTTCCTGCTGGAGGTGGTGAGTTGGGAAAGAAGTACCTTCCTGAGATTGGCAAACAGCCCAGGATGCTCTGCTAGACCCTCTGGATGGGGAGATGCCTGTAGGAGCTTGAGTGAAACCTGGTGACCAAGTGAGGCTTATCATGATACTGGACAGCCCTGTGATTTCCTGTACACGGGCTTCTGGTAAATGAGACTGAGACAAGAAACCTCACGAGACATTTCTCAGCATTTGCCCTGACTCTAATCACTTATCTTGGCCTCTGCCCATCCTATGCCATCTGGCCTCCCTCCCTGCCATTCCGGAGTCTTTCATTGCCCACTGCGAGCTTGTGCAAAAAGCAGATGCACCGTGCAATGCAAGCTTTCATAGCTCAATAGTAGTCTGCTCTTTTCTGCTTGGCGTTCAAAGCCCTGAGTGGCCTGGCTCACCTGATCTTTTTAAATTCAATCACAGAAGTAATGTATGTGCATTAGTTTTATTTCAAATGACACTAAGCTGTAGAAAATGAAATGTATGCCATAATAATAGCATTATTGGCTTAAAATAAATAAATAAATAAAAAATAATAATAATAAAAAAAGAAAATGTAATGTACAGTCTCTCCTAATATCATTCCCCAAAAGCAACCAATGTGTACATTTTCCTTTCTTAATTTTTTCAGAAGTTTTGTATAATAAAACTACATTTCCATTTTTGATTTATCAATGTTAACAACTGGTTATATTGAGTCTGCTTATAAAAAGCGGGGACTTAGCACACCACACACACACATACACACACACTGTCACATTTCTCCCTCTACCTCATTATAGTTGTTAGCTAGATTATTTTTAGATCATCTAGAGCAGGGGTCCTCAAACTTTTTAAACAGGGGGCCAGTTCACTGTCCCTCAGACCATTGGAGGGCTGGACTATAGTTTAAGAAAAACTATGAACAAATTCCTATGCACACTGCATATATTTTATTTTGAAGTAAAAAAACCGGCAAAAATACCCACATGTAGCCCACGGGCCATAATTTGAGAATCTAGAGCCAACCAATATTTTCAGCCTTATCTCCTATGACTTCCTTTCACGTGCCTATGTGGCAGCCAAATTGAGTTAGAAGTAACTTAACTATGAAGCATTTGAAACACTCAGAAAAATTTATTTACTTATTTATTCATTCATTCAATACTATTTATGGTGTGCCTATCATGTGCCAGACAGTGTTCCGGGCACTGAAGACACAGCGATGAGCAACACACAAGATCATGCCCCTTTGCATTCCAGAGGAGCTGGATGAGCTCACCCAGGGAGCGTGTGTCGATGGAGGAGAGCTCTGAGACTCAGCATTTCCTTCTGCTTTGGTGCAGTGGGAAAACCGTATAATTGTCACTCACTATTGTTTTAAATAGTCAGTGTTTGTCCAAATTTATCCACATCTCCACCAATGTTTTTGTTCATTCTCCCACTTCACATATCATATCTTCCTTCCATTTCTGAAAACACATCCTTCGGTTTTGTTTGTTAGAGTCTATGGGTCGTAAATACTCCAATTTTTGTGTGTCTGAAAATGTCATTTTTCATCCTCATTTTCTAAAGAGGATTCTCCCAGGCCTGGCAATCTAGGATGACAGCCGCTTTCTCCCAGCACATTGAAGGTCTGTCTTTTGACTGCTGATCTGACTGTTGTGGGATGGCCTTCAGTCAAGTTGCCTGTTGCTTGTAGTGATCTGTCTTCATTCTCTCTAACAGCTTTCCTTTTTCTCTGCAGTGGTACGTTCTCACTAAAATGTGTCTAGTGGCTTTCTTTTTCATATCATGTTTGGTATTTATAGAGTTTCACTGATATCAGGATTATCATCATTTAAAATTTCTGGCCAATGTTATGCTATAATCTCTTAAAATATTGCATGGTGGTTAAGGACACGAAGCCAGGCAGCTTGGCATGTCTATGGGACCTTAGACAAATTTTGCAACTTTGCTATGTTTGTTTCCTCATCTGCAAAATGGGGATAACATTATTATCTACTTTATAGGCTTATTGTGAAAATTAATAATTTATCTAAATTTATCTTAGAACAGGAGCATAAAATACTAAGTACAATATTCTTATTAGCTCATTATCATTTTTATTATTATCTCTTTCTATAAGTCTAATTCAACATATATTAGACCTTCTTTTTATATCTTCTGTATCTCTTAACTTCTCCTCCTTATTTTTCATTCTTGTTTTCCAGGCTACATTCTGGGTAATTCCTTCAGAATTACCCAGAATATATATATCTCCCAGTTTACTCATCTCTTTCCCACTGTGTCTAATCTTCTGTTTAATCCATCCACTGAATTTTACATTCAATTTTTATGTTATTAACTTCTAGAAGTTCTATTTGATATTTTATTTTTAAACTTGCTTAGTCATTTTTTAGTCTGTTGATGCTGGCTAGTATTTTCAATTCTCTCTTTTATATCTTTAACCATAATAAGCATAGCAATATCATAATTTGCTATCCTATAATTCCAATGCTATAGTCTGTGAATGTCTGACTTTACTGCCTGTTGTTTCTTCTGGCACTTTCATATGGTGCTTTATTTTTGTGTGTTTGTGATTTTTTACTGTGAGCTGTATGCTCTCCTTGGGACTCTTATTTGTGGAAATTCTTTAATGTCTGAATTCTAGTTGTCTGAATCCTCCTTTCAGAGAGGATTTGTGTTTTCTTTTGCTAATTGACCAGGGGAATATCCCAACGTGGCTTTAATGAGTTAGGATGTCCTCAGAAAGCTCATTTTTCATTTAAAGTTTTAGGGAGACCATAGGTTGTGTGAATTTGGACCACAGTGTAATATTGACTTGTGGTTACAAATTCTCAAGAGAGAGATTTTTCTTCATGCAGAGCCAAGATTGAGTCAAACACTTTCTCAGTGGTTTTATTTGTCACTGATGAGAAATACACTAGCAATCTTAAGCAAAAAGAACAAATTGGGAGGCATCAATTTACCAGACTTCAAACTGTACTACAAGGCTATAGTAACTAAAACAGCATGGTACTGGAACAAGAACAGAGACATAGACCAATGAAACAGAACTAAGAATCCAGATATAAAACCATCCTCATATAGCCATCTAATCTTTGACAAAGCAGACAAAAGCATACACTGGGGAAAAGAATTGTTATTCAATAAATGGTGCTGGAAAAATTGGATAGCCACATGTAGAAGACTGAAATAGGATCTGCAACTTTCATGTCTCACAAAAATCAACTCACAGAGGATAAGAGACTTAAACCTAAGGCATGAAACTATAATAATTCTAGAAGAAAATGTTGGGAAAACTTTTATAGACATAGGCCTAGGCAAAGAATTTATGAAGAAGAACTCAAAGAAAATTACAGTAACAATGAAAATAAATAAATAGGACCTGATGAAATTAAAAAGCTTCTGCACAGCCAAGGAAACTATCATCAGAGCAAACAGACAACCTACAGAATGGGAGGAAATATTTGCATGTTACACATCTGATAAAGGGCTGGTAACTAGAATCTATATAGAACTCAGGAAAATCAGCAAGAAAAAATTAAACAACCTTATCAAAAAGTGGGCAAAGGACATGAACAGAAACTTTTGAAAAGAAGATAGACTAATGGCCAAGAAACATGAAAAAAGGTTTAACATCTCTAATCATCAGGGAAATACAAATCAAAACCACAATGAATATCACTTATCTCTAGTAAAAATGGCCTTTATCAAAAAGTCCCCAAACAATAAATGTTGGCATGGATGCGGAGAGATAGAAACACTCATGCACTGCTGGTGGGACTGCAAACTAGTACAACCTCTGTGAAAAGTAATGTAGAGATACGTCAAAGAGCTACAAGTAGAACTACCATTTGATCTAGCAATCCTATTCCTGGGCATCTACCCAAAAGAACAAAAGACATTCTATAAATAAGACATCTGCACTAGAATGTTTATAGCAGCACAATTCACAGTTGCAAAGTTGTGGAAACAACCCAAGTGCCCATCAGTACATGAGTGGATTAATAAAATGTGGTATATGTATACTATGGAGTTCTACTCGGCCACAAAAAACAGTGGTGATCTAGCACCTCTCGTATTATCCTGGATATAGCTGAGGCCCCTTCTACTAAGTGAAGTATCACAAGAATCAAAAAACAAGCACCACATGTACTCTCTATCAAATTGGTGTTAACTGACCAACACTTAATTGCACATATAGTAGTAACATTCATTGGGTGTCGGGCAGGTGGGAGGGGGAGGAGAGGATGGGTATAGATGTGAACTAATGAGTACCATGTGTACTGTCTAGGGGATGGACATGCTTGAAGCTCTGACTCAGGTGGCGCAAAGGTAATATATGTAACCTAAACATTTGTACCCTTGTAATATGCTGAAATTTTTAAAAAATTAAATAAATAAATAAAAAGAGCTACACTGCCGTTTCAGTCTTTTGAAGTCTCAGGTTTTCATGAAGCTCTCCTGTTAGACTGCCCACCTTGAGTTGTTCTAAAACTCTATTTCTCACCCTTGCTAGATAACTCTTTTGGTTTCATTTCCCTATCTGTAGGATGAGATGCCCTCTAACTGAGATGGATCTGAAACTAAGAAATCTCTGGTGCCTGTGGAGGCTTCTCTCCATCACATGCCAAGGAAAATGAAGACCTTGAATAGGCTTCTCTCTGAAGCCAAACCTGAATCCCAGGAGGACTCTCATCTACTGGGGCCTTAGCGGTGCCCAGAGGCCACTGTTTTCATCCCTGTGATTCAATCATCAATCTAGGCCCCTCTCCATGGCTCGCAAATTTGTGTCATGAATTATTCTTTTCAAATTAGAGTTGGGAATGCAGGGCAGTGTCATTTAGAAAGACTTTGTCAAGAGTTGTTATGTTTGTAGAGTGAGTGTGTAGAGCTGATTTTTTTTTTTGCATGATGTATATATTTTTTTATTTTGGCATATTATGGGGGTACAGATTTTAAGGTTTCAATAAATGCCCATTTCCCCCCGTCCCCGCACAAGTCTGAGTCTCCAGCATGACCATCCCCCAGATGGTGCACATCACACTCATTATATATGTATATACCCACCCCCCTCCCACTTGCCCAATACCCTATTACTATCGTACTTATGTGACCACTAAGGTGCTGTTCACTTAATACCAATTTGCTGATGAGTATATGTGGTGCTTGTTTTTCCATTCTTGGGAAACTTCACTTAATAGTATGGGTTCCAGCTCTAACCAGGAAAATATAAGATGTGCTATATCACCATTGTTTCTTAGAGCTGAATAGTACTCCGATGGTATAACATCATACGTACATTTA